GAAGGCACCGAATTCCGAAACGTTGCCACTGTGTTGCATCATGGCGGCGCGATCCAGATGACCGGTGCTGCCGAGAGCGCCATGACGGTTGCCGACGCGTTGGGACAGCGACAAGTGGTGACTCAGATCGCCGTGGCTCATCCGGTGGTAACCAGTCATACCCTCACCATTGACGGACGAGCCTGCGGTGTGACTAGATCGTGGTACCATGATAGGGGGCAGAACTGAGGAAGGAGGAGGAGAAATGAAGTGAGCTGTTGGACTATAAGATGACGAAGATCACTTTGAAACTAGTAATTACAATAAATCAAGGAGTCTTACCGATGATGCTGTGTTGCAGTTAGTAATTAGATGTGTTGCACGGAGGCCCAGGCTGTGAGTTAGGATCCCAGCTGCCGTCCTTATTGTCTTGGTGTGTTAAATCATAGTCAAGTGAAAGCTACAATCAGATGTTGCATAATAGGATGTGTGCGTGGCACAGAGGCCCAGACCATGTGAGCTGGGATCTATGCTACCGCTTTCATCATTTGCTGGCATGTTAAAACCCTAGTCAGGTGTTTACTGTGTACTAAGGAGCGTGGTTATACGTTTAAGTTGGCATTTTTTCGTGCCCCCATCTGCGCCTGTCCTCGCCACTGGCCCTGTCAACCACTGCAGCCGGCGGCTATCCATCTACAATTGCGGCCTCGGAAAAACAACTCCCGAGGGTCACTCGCTGTAACTTGACTCAACTACGCAGTAGCTACTCCATGCTCCTTGGCCAGTACTACAGTAGATCGACCCGTCCACATCCGACAGCAGTCCTGATTGCCGCGTCTCTCCGCACGACTGTCAGCATCTTTTCGCCTGCAGTTCCCGGCCAGGCACCCAAATCACTCCCGTGGATGTTTAACTCAAGCCGGTCGAGGTTTCGGCTTTTTTCCGTCTTCCATCTACAATCAGTTTGGACTCCGGCGGGGGCTCTTGATCCACCAATGGGCTACAACCCTCATCAGGCAACTGACCAACTCGGACGGTGGGTTAATGCCGGAGGTAGAGAAGAGAGTGAGGTCGACGGTTAAGTGCTTTGTCTCCTCACTATAAACAATCTGATCTGCTTGAAGTTATCGCGCTGCGCTA